GCAGCCATCATGGATGAAGGATCAGCTTCATAGTAACAACACTTGGTCAGCACCTCAAAAGGAACATGCATGCCATGTTTGGTTTCATTCCATTCAATGGTTCTCTAAAAGAAAACATTTGTACGTATTTCTCATAGGGTCCTATGTTAAACTAAGTCCTCCGCTGGCGGCCATCTTAGATTATGGATCGGCTTCATAGTAACAACACTTGGTCAGCACCTCATAAGGAACATTCATGCCATGTTTGGTTTCATTCCATTCAGTGGTTCTCTAAAAGAAGACATTTGTATGTATTTCCCATAGGGTCCTATGTTAAACTAAGTCCCCCGCTGGCTGCCATCTTGGATGATGGATCAGCTTCAAAGTAACAACACTTGTTCAGCACCTCATAAGGAACATTCTTGCCATGTTTGGTTTCATTCCATTCAGTGGTTCTCTAAAAGAAGACGTTTGTATGTATTTCCCATAGGGTCCCATGTTAAACTAAGTCCCCTGCTGGCGGCCATCTTGGATTATGGATCGGCTTCAAAGTAACAACACACAGTCAGCACCTCATAAGGAACATTCATGCCATGTTTGGTTTCATTCCATTCAGTGGTTCTCTAAAAGAATACATTTGTATGTATTTCTCATAGGGTCCCATGTAAAACTAAGTCCCCTGCAGGCGGCCATCTTGGATTATGGATCGGCTTCAAAGTAACAACACTCGGTCAGCACCTCATAAGGAACATTCATACCATGTTTGGTTTCATTCCATTCAGTGGTTCTCTAAAAGAAGACATTTGTATGTATTTCCCATAGGGTCCTATGTTAAACTAAGTCCCCCGCTGGCGGCCATCTTGGGTTATGGATTGGCTTCAAAGTAACAACACTCGGTCAGCACCTCATAAGAAACATTCATGCCATGTTTGGTTTCATTCCATTCAGTGGTTCTCTAAAAGAAGACATTTGTATGTATTTCCCATAGGGTCCTATGTTAAACTAAGTCCCCCGCTGGCAGCCATCTTGGATGATGGATCCGCTACAAAGTAACAACACTTGGTCAGCACCTCATAAGGAACATTCATGCCATGTTTCATTCCATTCAGTGGTTCTCTAGAAGAAGTTCAAAATGTAAAAAGTTAATGCCGACGACAGACGACAAGTGATGAGAAAAGCTCACTTGGCCCTTTGGGCCAGGTGAGCTAAAAAGGTGATAATATCAACAACATAAACAGTACCAATTTTACTGCACCAGATCACATTTCACCAGTTAATCATGTTAATGTCAGTGGCCAAAATATTTGTAAATCCAAATGACATCTGTCCTTAAATCCACTTAATCCAGAATCTAGACAATAGTTTTATAAGACACACCAAGTATATAAATAGTTCACAAACTACAAAATAGTTTATCTTTAAAATCATTGTGTTCTAATGAAGAAAAAGCATAACATGATTTCTTTACATAACAAGGTTTTGATATTATACACAATTCAGTTATATGCCTAACTTCACACTTCACATACTGGTAAATGTAATTATCACAATTAACAGCAGTAACTAAATTCCAATTTCAATTCAACAATGATACAAAAGAAACATCATAATTGTTGAAGAAATAAATGCCCTTACAATAATGATGTTTTTTTTCAAATTTATCAAAATAAGGTCTGTGATGCCTAAAAGATTCTAGACTTCTAGACCATTTTGATTTTTAGCAACCAAGTTTGATAAAACGAGAACTTGTGTTTCCCAATCTAAGTTCTCTTGAACTTGATTTAAAATAATGTCATAATGGTTGAAACAGTACATTCAAAAGGTGTAAGATTCCAAATAAGGTATGACTTCCATTAAGAAATAATTCTTTCATGCCATGCTCTATGCTCATTTTCACATGAGTAGCCATTATATTTGTTAATATCTTTACACCAAGCATTGGCGTGGTGTAAAATGTTGACAAATATAATGCCTACTCATATTAAAATGAATATAGAGCATGGAATGATAGAATTATTTCGATTCTGATAGGAAGTTCAGGACTTTTGTACTTGAGGCGGATCTATAAGATATGTTTATAAGGCAGCCATTTTGATTTAATGAAGCTAAAGCGTTCTAGAAAACAATTCATTCCACGAATTAAAAAAAACCAGAGACATGTAAACTTACTTTTAGAATAATATTATTAACTTCCTATCAAGCAACACCAACAAAAATGTCCATTTCAATCTCTGAGGTTGTTCAAAATAAAACAGACATTGCAATTTTAATTGTGATGGCTCACAGGTGCACCCCATGTTCTATTGGAATTAGAACATGGCTTTATTTACAAAGTGAAAGAAGAGTGTCATATTAGAGTTGCTTAAATACCATAACTTATACCATTATGGATTTTCAGTCCATTTAGAGCAATTATATCATGGAAAAACAACCTGCCTTAGCTAGAACATAGAAGCGGTATGTCTAGAACACATGAACTGATTTTCATGATCCCTTAAGTGTTTAAAAATCACATTCCATTACTTTAAATTATACATATGTTACATCAGATATTCCCTACTCTACTGCAATTTCAAATAAATTTCTGTCTAGTTCTGAACTATAGATTTAAAATATTTAAAATGTTAAATTCATGATAATTTTTGTTAAAATCCATAAAACAACCCTTGGAATTCACTTTTTAATGATAATCATAGAATCATTTTTAATCCAAAGTTTAGATATTTTTTAAACAACAACAAATAAAAAATATTTCCTTCGTTTTAAATTCATAAAAGTATATTAACAAAAATTTCTGAGTGTAGATAATGATTGAGAGTTGAGAAAAAATTTGATTGAAAAAATAAACAAAATTACAAATCTATTCACTAACAAAACTACTTTACAGATATTGACAGAATAAATAGTGACAAATATTTACACTACTTGTAATATAAAAATGTATAAAAATATAAATGAACAGTTATGTAAAAAAAGTTGGAGTCACTAACTCCTATTGATTTCTTTGATATACAAGAAACCTCTGCTTAGAAGAACTGTACAATGAAATTTGATAAAAATAAGAAAGGAACAATGGACAACAATCAAAGAATTAAGTGCGTTTCAAATAGTTATTTCATTCATCAGATGGCGTTAAATTGAATGGAAAAAATTGAGCAAAGTTTATGTTACTGAATATATTTACATGTGAACAAGCATTTGAAGTGCACGAAAGTCACATACTATGAACATAAAATTCTTTCAAAAGAAATGGTCTACTTTTGTAAACAACTTAAGAGGAATTTAAACATTAGCTACTTTAAAGTATAATAACTTAAAAAACAATATTAAGCCATTCCATTATCAAAGGGAGGTAACCTTGTAGACACTGTGTAAATGAAGGGGTAAATTCAGTAAAAAATCTTCCATCGAGTTCTAAGCAAACCTATTACTGGAATTAAATTTATACTTGGTTTACCATAAGAAATCAGAATCTTTCATATATCATTCATTAAATACAAATGCAGACCCATCTTTTGCAACAATCAAAACATATGGTCATGCCACATTTTTGCACCATTCACATGGCCTTGTTTACAACCACTTTAGATTCACACTAAATTCCTACACTGGCCCCTATTTCTTTCAACCCTGTCATAAAATATCTATTACAAATATTATCTATCATTCAGTGGAGCACAAGACTTCAGTGTTATCCAGAAAGCTCTCCCCTAAATTGGCGGTATTTAATGACGTATATTTATTTACTGAATTTACCCCTGAAACCAATGACATAACACATATTTATCACAACAAATGGAGGTAAGCTTGTATACACAGAGTAAAGAAACCAATGACACAACACACATTTATCAATACAAATTTCAATCAACATTAAAACTAAATCAGTTTATGAACTCAGCAAAAATATTAAAATAAAAAAAATCACACTAAAGTCATTGAGAGAACTCTTCTTCCTATGACAATGCGTGATATAAAGTTACATGATTGTGAATTATAAAATGTCTCTAATGTAAATGGCCTATTTTGATCGATTAATAACAATATAGAATGACAGCATAGAATATGATGTTGAACAAATGAATGTATCTGCATAGAATACTGTAAAATAACACAAATGGATTAAAAAATCACACACTTATAAAAACAAATAAATAGTGGTTTTCAATAATTCTTAATAAGACTCATTTATCTTACACAATGAACCTTTAAAATGAGTTTTTTAACATGTGAGTGTGTTTATGAGTTATGCTTTGTTTCACAAAACTTCTTCAAAATGCAGTAATATTTATGGAAATAAGCACTTGTTCAATGCTTCACTCTCAGACCAATCATTCCAATCTAAAGTAATATGGCAATGTCTATACAAAATGTTTGTAGTTCTTGGTTTTTCATTCTGTTCCACTTTTTCTACAAAACAATAAAAAGTTTTAAACATACAGTTATGACAAAAAGCGTTTAAGTGTTTCTGACAAATTAAATAGTGTTTGTTTTCACAGGCATTGCCATCATCTATAACAAGGAAGAAAATAGTTTAGCTGATATGATGGATATAAATTTCACCTGATTAGAAGATGGCTTAAACAGCTATAATTGATCTATTTAAGAAAAGGTAAAAAACTTTCGAAGACTATGAAAACGATTTTTAAATGAACTTTCATCATGTGAGTTATGTCTTTTCACAGGTTTAAACATTTTCTATTTTAGGCCTCTCACATGTTGCAGAGGGGAGCTGAGGCTACTTCATTATCAGTTTACAAAATAAAGATGAGATAGTATAAAATAAACCCATATTTAGATGATAATGCACTTTTGTCAAGTTTGACAGCAATGTGTCTGGTTTTGTCTGAGTTTTGGTGTAGAAAAGATTAAATTTATTTCAACTAATAGCTAAATATAAAAATAAGATGATGTGGTATGATTGCCAATGAGACAACTCTCCACCAGAGAACAAATGACATAGAAGTTTAAAACTAAAGGTCACCGTACAGCCTTCAACAATGATCAAAAGTTTATCTTACCTCAATCATAAAACAGATCTGCATGCATTTGTGAAAACATCCACAACACGATTTATTTCATTTTCTGTTAGCTGACAATTCACAGAAATTCTAATACTGAAACAGATAACAAGGAACTCAAATTATTCAACTATTTCTCTTAGCTATCAGGTTACAGTAATTTGTATTATAAAAAAAACAATAAGTTTATCATCATATTCAATTTATTGAGCACTCACTTCTAAAAGATTTAAATCTAAAATAAGAAAAATTACTACTTATTTGAAAATAGATATTCCCTATATCAAAATTCTCTTAGCACCCAACAATAGAGCAAATGTATCATATCAGAATATACAATGAGATAAGATTCTGGTTTTCAATGACTGTCCTTTGCAATTAACACAGAAAAAGAGCTTGTACTTCTTTGAAATTATAAAACCTGACAAATCTCTTTTACTTCATAACACAAAGAAATTTCTTGGATTGAGAGGACATGTATTTAACTCCAAGCCTTTTATAAATGAAGTGTATGCAAAGCATACTTTGGGAGGAAAGTAGGACAGCAACCAATCAACTTCTGTTTTTTCATCATACTTATATCTGTACCTACGTATTCTCTTGTGTATAACCAGAATCATTAGACCACATAGCAATCATTGAATGTGACATACCTGGGTGGTGGTAATTTGTGTTCTTCCTTCTCTAAATATCTGGCTAAAACTATGGCAATACCATTCTCCATAGCCTGGTAATATAACAAACATATAATCTTTACAATATATATATCAACATTGAAAACTTTTAAGCAGTATAAGCTTCCTTTTAAAGGCAATCATTATTTTGTTAGCATTTTTCATGTTTTTTGTGTATAATAATCAAAAACATATTGACAATTTGGATCACCTTTTTAAGGACTTGGTAATTTTTAGGAGAAAACCTGAAAAAACAATCTGATCACAAAATAAAACAGGAGATGCAGAAACAATCAATCAATCAATCACAACTGCACAAACAACAATCAAACAATCAATCAATTATAACTGCACAATATATATAGTATTTAAGCCAAATTTCTTATAGTTCCTATCTTAACAGTAAAATAAATTTTCAGTGACAATCTTATGTAACAGACAGACAGTATAACATTCTGTCTCGCAAAATATAATGTAAAGAAACCAACCTGATCAGCAATCCTCTGTAAAGTTTTCATGTCTAACTCTCTGTTATCACTAATTTCTGATAATCTGACATGTTTTATAGGAGCTAATGGATCTCCCATCACTTGTACACCTGATATCCTGTAAGAAAAAGTTCAAAACAATTACTAATAGTATACCCTGTGTCAGTATCACCCTGTTAAGCTCTTCATTAAATTCAAAATAATGACATAAAAATGTTTTTGATATGTCCAGAATAACTTTAATTTGATTATAATGGTCAGTATTTTCACACTAATAGCTTGATCTCTATTTGTTGTTTTTGTTTTATATAAGATTATAAACTAGAGGCTCTAAAGAGCCTGTGTCCCTCACCTTGGTCTATGTGCATATTCAACAAAGGACACCCTCCAACATTGTAGAAGAGAATAGAATTCATGACAAAAATCTCTGTTTTGTTGATCTTGAAATGCTGATCATTTAGTCTTCATTAGTTTTTGCTCAAAGCACATAAAAGGGTAAAAAAGAAATATACTCATTTAAGGGCAATCACTCCTATAAAGAGTGATAGTCTACTAACTATATCAGCAAAATTTGACTTGTTAGTAGATCTTGCCTTGTTGATCAGTTTTGTGATTTAAAGTGTCTATTTATCTATTGTAATTTTTATCATATAAGGCAAAAAGCAAAAAAAAAAGGAAAAAATTGTCATTAAAGGGCAATAACTCCAATAAAGAGTCGTCAAGACGATATCCTCCATATTGTCTTAATTGTAGGTCTTGTCTTGCTGATCATTTTTGCTCATTTCAGTTTCTATCTATCTATTATAATTTTTATCATATAAGAAAAAAAATGGAAAAAAATTGTCATTAAAGGGCAATAACTCCAATAATGAGTCATCAGACGATATCCTCCATATTGTCTTAATTGTAGGTCTTGTCTTGCTGATCATTTTGCTTAATTCAGTTTTTATCTATCTATTAAAATTTGTTTCATATAAGAACAAAAAGCAAAAAAAAAATGGTAAAAATCATCATTAAAGGGCAATAACTCCAATAAGAGAGTCATCAGACGATATACTCCATATTGTCTTAATTGTAGGTCTTGTCTTGCTGATCATTTTGCTTAATTCAGTTTTTATCTATCTATTAAAATTTTTTTCATATAAGAACAAAAAGCAAAAAAAAATGGTAAACATCATCATTAAAGGGCAATAACTCCAATAAGAGAGTCCTCAGACGATATCCTCCATATTTGTCTTAATTGTAGGTCTTGTCTTGCTGATCATTTTTGCTTAATTCAGTTTCTATCTATCTATTATAATTTTTAAGATATAAGGCAAAAACCCAAAAATTGGAAAAAATTGTCATCAAAGGGCAATAATTCTGATAAGGAGTCGACTGACGATTTCTATCATTAGACTTAATTGAAGTATAAATTTTGCCCACCCGGTGCCCACTCCCATGGTGGGCCGGTGGACAAAGCAAAATCCACCCGAGCTGTAGTGTAGATAGAAACTTTAAATTGCAAAAATGATCAGCAAGACAAGTTCTTCAATTAAGTCTAATGATAGAAATCGTCAGTCGACTCCTTAAAAATATAAAAAAAAAAAAATCAGTTTGATGACTATTTCAAGGCCCTGCCCCTAGGTCATGGTCCAGTGATTTTCAATCAAATAACAATTTTCAATGTTAAGTTTTCTGATTAAGTTAGTTTGATGGGAACTAGTTACAATAGACAATATTTTCTATAAAGTTACATTGCTGTCTGAACATCTCAGTTTGTCAACTTTTTCGAGGCCCTACCCACTAGTTGGTCCAGCGACTTTGAATTAATTAGCAATGTTGCTGTCCATCAGATTGTCTTTTTCTGAACTTTATGCCAACAGGCGAGACATCTCTGTGTCAACAGTTTATTTTCAATTTTGCGTATTATCTTGAAAACTATAATAAACAGATTTATAGAAACTATTGTAACTAGTAACATTGAAAATTGTTATTTGATTGAAAATCACTGGACCATGACCTAGGGGCAGGGCCTTGAACGTATTGATAGTAATGCAACTTCATGCAAAATATCATTGATCTATCACAAGTAGTTCCTATCAATCTAAATTAAGCACAGAACTTAACCTTTAAAATCTTATTATTTCAAAGTCACTGGACCATAGCCTAGGGCCTCAAAATTGTCATCAAACTGATATGTATTGATAGTAATGCATCTTCATACAAAATATCAATGATCTATCACAAGTTCTTATCAAACTAACTTAAGCGTCACCGCAGCTGTCCCTGGAAAAGCAATCCCTATGTCTCGCTTTCCGTGACTTTCATCGCAGAGGAGACAAAAATGGTAAAATTTGTCATTTAAGGGCAATAACTCCTATAAGAAGTCGTCTGATAGTTTTGACATAAATGGACAAATGGCAGAGCTCAACATTCTGAACATTTGTGCCCTAGTCAGATTTTCCCATTTATAACAGTTTTCAAATAATAGACAAAACTTGCATTTTACCCCTATGTTATATTTTTAGCCATGTTAGCCATCTCAGTTGGCAGATGGGGTCTTCTGACACATTTTTTTAAACTAGATACCCTGATGATGACTGTGGCCAAATTTGGATAACTTTGGTCCAGTAGTTTCAGAGGAGAAGATTTTTGTAAAAGATACAAATGACGAGGGACGACAAACGCCAAGTGATGAGAAAAAGCTCACTTGGCCCTTTGGGCCAGGTGAGCTAATAAAAATCCACCCTTTTGAAGAGTGCAATTTTTCACTGATATAAGAAGAATGAATATTAGAGTAGAAGTAGATATAAGTAATATATTATATGATAACTGAAGGGACAAAATGATCCCCATTGATTGATGGAGGCTTAATGCCAGGTCAGCACACATGGAGTATGTTACAGTAAGAACAAATTTTGGTAAAAAAAACCACATTTAAACAATTAAAATAAAAGTGTGTGTTGATACAGGGGAGGCAATAACATTATAAATAGCTGACATAAAACACATAAACTGTTAACACAGAGATATGTCTCACCTTTTTGTAATTTTGATAATGCAAATGTTGAAATTAAATAGCAATACTTAAACATGTAAGTCATGCAAATATTCAAAGTCAATGAACCATGACTGAAGATATTCGGCTAAAAAATTTCCATGGAAATGAGATGTGCCAATGCTAATACAACTGCATACCAAATACCACTGACTTATCATAAGTCGTTCCCTTTAAATAAACTTAAACACAACCAAACATTAACTTGTAAACTATGTAAAAGTTTCAAAGTCCTTGACCCATGACGAGGGGGTGGGGCTATATAATCTCCATGGAAACGAGACTTGCAAATGCCAATACATTTGCATACCAAATTTCATTGACTTAACATTAGCGGGTCATCATAAACTAACCTAATCACAAACTAATACCCTGTAAACTAAGCAAAAGTTTCAAAGTCAATAGACCAAAATTGAGGGGGTGGGGCCAAATATTCTCCATGGAAATGAGATGTGCTAATGCTTATACAACTGCATACCAATTAACATTGGCCTACCACTAATGGTTCCCCTTGAACTGACCTAAACACAAACTAATACATGTAAACTAAGCAAAATTTTCAAAGTCAATAGACCATGACTGAGGGGGCTGGGCCAAATAATCTCCATGGAAATGAGATGTACCAATGCTAATACAACTGCATACCAAATATCATTGACCTACCACTAGTGGTTCACCATAAACTAGACCTAATCACAAACTAATACATTGTTGATGCAGCCGCCGCTGTTGCCAGAAACAGCATACCTATGTCTCCGTCAAGGCGAGACAAAAAATAAATGTTTGCATGTTATAATATTCAGTAATAAGCTGAAAGACTTACATCGATAAACCATCATACATCTTTCTACAATTTTCTCTCAGTTTTGATAAAATATCTGAAATAAAAAACATTGTTATATAAACACAATATAATTCTTTCTACACATTATTTATTTCGAATATCATTTCTAAGGTCTCACCAAGATTGGCTATTGATATCTTTGACTGATTTGTAAGAGAAACATTATTGTTAAAATTTCCTCTGTTATGCCAAATTTTTCATTTGCATCTTTCTTATTCAATAATCTAATCTGATCAAATACATCTTACAAAAAATTTATTCATCCTGTGAGTCAATATTATTTATTCTTTTTTCTAAATTAAAGTCTATATAAAGTTAAAGAAAACTTACTGGAATCATTCTGCATAATGTTGAGGGCCTCAATAGCAGCAGTAGCCAACATTGGAGGTAATGAAGCAGAGAAACAGTAACCTAAACCAGATAATCTCTAAAACAAAAACAATATATCATGTTACAACACAGACAGAATGGGGAGGTAATAAGACTGAGAAACAGTAACCTAAACCTAATAATCTCTAAAACAAGAAACAATATATTATGTTACAACACGGACAGAAAGGGGTAGGAATAAAGACTGAGAAACAGTAACCTAAACCTGATAATCTCTAAAACAAGAAACAATATATTATGTAATGACAGGGACAGAAAGGGGAGGTAATAAGGCCGAGAAACAGTAACCTAAACCTGATAATCTCTACAACAGAAACAATATATTATGTAATGACAGTGACAGAAAGGGGAGGTAATGAGGCAGAGAAACAGTAACCTAAACCAGATAATCTCTACAACAGAAACAATATATTACGTTACAACACGGACAGAAAGGGGAGGTAATAAGACTGAGAAACAGTTACCTAAACCTGATAAACTCTACAACAAAAACAAATATTATGTTAAAGGGGAGGTAATGAGACAGAGAAACAATAACCTAAACTAGATAATCTCTACAACAGAAACAATATATAATGTGATGACAGGGACAGAAAGGGGAGGTAATAAAACTGAGAACCAGTAACCTTTACCTGATCTCTACAACAATAACAATATATTATGACAACAGGGACAGAAAGGAGAGGTAATGAGGCAAAGAAACAGTAACCTAAACCAGATAATCTCTACAACAGAAACAATATATTACGTTACAACACGGACAGAAAGGGGAGGTAATAAGACTGAGAAACAATAACCTAAACTAGATAATCTCTACAACAGTAACAATATATTATGTAACAACACGGACAGAAAGGGGAGGTAATAAAACTGAGAACCAGTAACCTATACCTGATAATCTCTAAAATAGAAACAATATATTAATTTTGCTGAAATTTGACTAAGTTGACTCAAGTCTGGAAAAAAAAGGGGACAATTCCTCAAACAATTCCATAGTAGCAGGTGCACAACTTAATTTGTATGCAGGGGCCTCGGTGACTGAGTGGTCTAAGAAGTCAAGCTACTGTATCACTAGCCTGTCAACTCTGATGTTGTGAGTTCTCTCCAGCTTCTTCCACCAATAAAAACTGACCGCCACGAAATAGTACAATAGTGCTGAAAGTGGTGTTTAAAACCAATCAATCAATACATATGCAATCCACCTTTTGTTTGCTTAATTTACTGTAAAATTAGAAAAGATTTCCTTGGGAACCTTTTACAACAATTCCCTTATATAAGAAAACTAATAACATTGGAGGTACCAATTTAACTGCACCAGATGCCCATTTCAACAATTAATGTCTTCAGAGATGCTTGAAGCCAAAATATTGTTGAACATGTTAATTTAAACGAAGATTTCATACATTCATATTTGTCTCCTTCCAAGCAAATTACTTATCTAATGATGTTTTAGTTCTATATTTACACACATCAAAGAATAAAGTTGGATATATCGTATCCTTGTATTTCTTTGAGATTTATAAATGCGAATAAAATTGAGAATGGAAACAGGGAATGTGTCAAAGAGACAACAACCTGACCAAAGAGCAGAAAACAGCCCAAGGCCACCAATGGGTCTTCAACACAGCGAGAAAATCCCGCACCCGGAGGCAGGCTTTAGCTGGCCCCTAAATAAAAATGTGTAATAGTTCAGAGAAAATAGACGTCACACTAAACTCCGAAACATATAGATGAACCAAAATTAAAAAAAAAACATACAAGACTAACAAATGCCAGAGGTTCCTGACTTGGGACAGGCACAAATGTGGCGGGGTTAAACGTGTTTTGTGAGATCTCAACCCTCCCCCTATACCTTTAGCCAATGTAGAATAAACAAACACATAGAAATACGCACAGTAAAACTCAGTTAAAAGGAAGTCCTAGTCCGATGTTAGAATAGGTAACAGAAGAAACTAAGCAAAATGACAATGGTAACATAAATTAACAAAGGACTACTAGCAGTAACTGGCATGCCAGCTCCAGACCTCAATTAAACTGATAGAAAGTTTATGTCTTCATCATATGAAAATCAAGAACAATCCCTCCCGTTAGGGGTTTAGTATCATACCATCATAAAATATATGAGAAGAACATAACCCGTATCATGCCAACAACTGGTTTTAGAATAAATGTGTTTAATTCCGATGCAAAGACCCAATGAGTGAATCAATATTAATTCCAAAAAATGCCATCTTTAATGACCCAACAACAGTATTGTAACTATATCCCTTCTGAATAAGTGTGTTTAAAGGTTTGGTTAGCATGGGTCTTGTGATATAAAAGTAATTATAAATTTGTTATTATTTTTGATTCCTACCTGATGATCTATGACATATTTTTTACCACAACAGAACCCTCCTGTGCTGCCAATACTATTCTCCAATGAAGCTGCTATCAAATCTACTTCATCCACCTATAATACAAATCATCAGTATACACATTAGAGCTACTATCAAATCTACTTCATCCACCTATAATACAAATCAACAGTATACACATTAGAGCTGCCTGCTATCAAATCTACTTCATCCACCTATAATACAAATCAACAGTATACACATTAGAGCTGCCTGCTATCAAATCTACTTCATCTACTTATAATACAAATCAACAGTATACACATAAGAGCTGCTATCAGATCTACTTCATCCACCTATAATACAAATCAACAGTATACACATTAGAGCTACTATCAAATCTACTTCATCCACCTATAATACAAATCAACAGTATACACATTAGAGCTGCTATCAAATCTACTTCATCTACTTATAATACACATCAACAGTATACACATTAGAGCTGCTATCAGATCTACTTCATCCACCTATAATACAAATCAACAGTATACACATTAGAGCTGCTATCAAATCTACTTCATCCACCTATAATACAAATCATCAGTATACACATTAGAGCTACTATCAAATCTACTTCATCCACCTATAATACAAATCAACAGTATACACATTAGAGCTGCCTGCTATCAAATCTACTTCATCCACCTATAATACAAATCATCAGTATACACATAAGAGCTGCTATCAGATCTACTTCATCCACCTATAATACAAATCAACAGTATACACATTAGAGCTACTATCAAATCTACTTCATCCACCTATAATACAAATCAACAGTATACACATTAGAGCTGCTATCAAATCTACTTCATCTACTTATAATACACATCAACAGTATACACATTAGAGCTGCTATCAGATCTACTTCATCCACCTATAATACAAATCAACAGTATACACATTAGAGCTGCTATCAAATCTACTTCATCCACCTATAATACAAATCATCAGTATACACATTAGAGCTACTATCAAATCTACTTCATCCACCTATAATACAAATCAACAGTATACACATTAGAGCTGCCTGCTATCAAATCTACTTCATCCACCTATAATACAAATCATCAGTATACACATTAGAGCTGCTATCAGATCTACTTCATCCACCTATAATACAAATCAACAGTATGCACATTAGAGCTGCCTGCTATCAAATCTACTTCATCCACCTATAATACAAATCATCAGTATACACATTAGAGCTGCTATCAGATCTACTTCATCCACCTATAATACAAATCAACAGTATGCACATTAGAGCTGCCTGCTATCAAATCTACTTCATCCACCTATAATACAAATCATCAGTATACACATTAGAGCTGCTATCAGATCTACTTCATCCACCTATAATACAAATCAACAGAATACACATTAGAGCTGCTATCAAATCTACTTCATCCACCTATAATACAAATAAACAGTTTACACATTAGAGCTGCTATTAAATCTACTTCATCCACCTATAATACAAATCAACAGTTAACACATTTCTAGAGCAGCTCAAACTTTAGTGCATCGATAAACTTCGGTAAAAGTTACAATCTGTTTTTACAGATCCCAAAACTTGGTAACAAGAATCTGAATCATATTTGTGTGCTAGGCATACCTCTATCTATTTTTCAAAGTAACTGTGAACAGGAACTAGGTGACAGGTTAAAAAAGCTATTTATCTTTAAATTTAAATGATTATTAAATTAGTTAGATATTAATCCCTCATAGAAAATATATAAATGAATGATTTTCAATAATTTAATAATATGCTAGTTTAAAATTTGTAAAATCTTGCAGGTATTCTGCTGCAATTTTATTTCAAGCTGATCAATTCTTTTTAAAAGGTTCTTAAACTTAAATAAAATGCTTCGCTGGGGCGCAGCTTGATACGACCGCAGAGGTCGAACCCTGAACAGTTGGGGCAAGTATGGACACAACATTCAAGCTTGAAACAGCTCTGAATTTGGATTGTTATTAAATATTTGACACAGCATAGGTTTCTGACACAGAAAGAATGTGGTCTAAGAACTTGAATTTTTTTAATTTACCTATTATGGTCCAATGTCCAAAATCAAAATACATGGTTAGATTCAGCATATCAAAGAACCCCATATATTCAATTTTTGTTAAAATCAAACAAAGTTTAATTTTGGACCCCAACTTGGACAAACTTGAAAACTGGGCCCATAATCAAAAATCTAAACACATGTTTAGATTCAGCATATCAAAGAACCCCAAGAATTCAATTTTTGCTAAAATCAAACTAAGTTTAATTTTGGACCCTTTGGACCTTAATGTAGACCAATTTAAAAAACAGGACTTAAAATTAAAAATCTAAATACACGGTTAGATTTGGAATATCAAAGAACCCCAATAATTCAATTTTTGATGAAATCAAACAAAGTTTAATTTTGGACCCTTTTGACCTCAATATGAACCAATTTGATAGCGGGGCCCACAAATAAAAAATCTAAAGTCATGGTTAGATTCAGCATATCAAAGAACCCCATATATTCAATTTTTGTTGAAATCAAAAAAAGTTTAATTTTGGACCCCAACTTGGACCAACTTGAAAACTGGGCCCATAATCAAAAATCTAAACACATGTTTAGATTCAGCATATCAAAGAACCCCAAGAATTCAATTTTTGTTAAAATCAAACTAAGTTTAATTTTGGACCCTTTGGACCTCAATGAAGACCAATTTAAAAAACGGGACCCAAATTAAAAATACGGTTAGATTTGGCATATCAAAGAACCCCAATAATTCAATTTTCGATGAAATCAAACAAAGTTTAATTTTGGACCCTTTTGACCTCAATATGAACCAATTTGATAGCGGGGCCTACAAATAAAAAATCTAAATACATGGTTAGATTCAGCATATCAAAGAACCTCATATATTCAATTTTTGTTGAAATCAAACAAAGTTTAATTTTGGACCCCAATTTGGACCAACTTGAAAACTGGGCCCATAATCAAAAATCTAAATACATGTTTAGATTCAGCATATCAAAGAACCCCATATATTCAATTTTTGTTGAAATCAAACAAAGTTTAAATACTGGACCCTATCTTGGACCAACTTGAAAACTGGGCCCATAATCAAAAATCTAAACACATGTTTAGATTCAGCAAATCAAAGAACCCCAAGAATTCAATTTTTGTCAAAATCAAACTAAGTTTAATTTTGGACCCTTTGGACCTCAATGTAGACCAATTTAAAAAAAAGGACCCAAAATTAAAAACCTAAATACACGGTTAGATTTGGAATATCAAAGAACCCCAATAATTCAATTTAAGATGAAATCAAACAAAGTTTAATTTTGGACCCTTTTGACCTCAATATGAAGCAATTAGATAACGGGGTCCACAAATAAAAAATCTAAATACATGGTTAGATTCAGCATATCAAAGAACCCCATATATTCAATTTTTGTTGAAATCAAACAAAGTTTAAATACTGGACCCTATCTTGGACCAACTTGAAAACTGCGCCCATAATCAAAAATCTAAACACATGTTTAGATTCAGCAAATCAAAGAACCCCAAGAATTCAATTTTTGTCAAAATCAAACTAAGTTTAATTTTGGACCCTTTGGACCTCAATGTAGACCAATTTAAAAAAAAGGACCCAAAATTAAAAACCTAAATACACGGTTAGATTTGGAATATCAAAGAACCCCAATAATTCAATTTAAGATGAAATCAAACAAAGTTTAATTTTGGACCCTTTTGACCTCAATATGAACCAATTAGATAACGGGGTCCACAAATAAAAAATCTAAATACATGGTTAGATTCAGCATATCAAAGAACCCCATATATTCAATTTTTGTTGAAATCAAACAAAGTTTAATTTTGGACCCCAATTTGGACCAACTTGAAAACTGGGCCAAAAATCAAAAATCTAAATACATGTTTAGATTCAGCATATCAAAGAACCTCATATATTCAATTTTTGCTAAAATCAAACAAAGTTTAATTTTGGACCCTTTGGACATTAATGTAGACCAATTTGAAAACTGGACCCAAAATTAAAAATCTAAATACACTGTTAGATTCGGCATAACAAATAAATAAATGTGATCAAAGATTTTACAAATCTAATGCGCCATACTGTGCAATTAAAGATTACTTCTTGAAATTTTTCAATATTTGAAATTTGAAAAAAAAATAATATTTGAAGAATAATTCTTTTTAATTTCTGAAATCTGAAATGAGAAAAAATTGGCCCCCCACAATTTCTTTTTATCCCCCCCCCCCCCCCCCCCTTTTTCCCCCAAAAAAATTCTTTCCCTCAAGATATGGTCATAATCTCAATTCAAATTTCCAATGGAGTTGGCAACCATAATTACCCATTTAAATTTACCATAGTGCTAACTTAATCTATTTTATAATAGAATTAATAAAAATATAGTGTCAAATCTTTCATATGGATTTTTTTGTAAAAAAAAAAGATGAAAACATTTGCAGATATTTTTACTGGTCTTCCTTTATAAATATGCATTTCTTTAAACATAATTTAAAAGCAGTGTAAGGGAAGTAACCAAAACGTTGTATTTGGATTACCTCCCTTACACTGTTTTAGATTATCTTTATTGTTCATTAACCATTACTTTATACATAATTTAAAAGCAGTGTAAGGGAGATAATTTCAATGATGTATTTGATTTATCTCCCTTACACTGCTTTAAATTATGTTTTGTACTAAAGTATTTGTCCATTAACCAGGACAACCTTGTTTTTCCCCCTTTTTTGCCCCTAATTCCTAAACGGTTTGAGCCATAACCCCCCAAAGCAAATCCTAACCATCCCTTTGTGGTATGGAAACTTGTAGTATAATTTCAGAGAGATCCATACACCGTTCCACAGTTATTGTCTGGAAACTAGAAAATGCTCATTTTTGGCCCCTTTTTGGCCCCTAATTCCTTAACTGTTGGTACCATAACCCCCAAAATCAATCCCAACCTTCCTTTTGTGGTATTTAACCTTATGGTCAAATTTCAAAAAGATCCATTCACTTAAACTAAAGTTAGAGTGCGAAAACCAATATGTATTCGGATGACGACGCCGACGACGCCGCCAGACGACGACGACGACGACGACGCCAACGTCATACCAATATACGACCACAAAATTTTTTTGCGGTCGTATAAAAATTAGTATTCAAATGTATACTTTTTTTACAATAATTCAAAGAATTATAGAGGGAACAACATATTACAAGATGAAAAATTTCTCACTGAGATTATTTTGGTGGATATGCATTAATGTAAGTACTTGTCTCTAGTGATTTAATTACATTGGTTTACTGTGTATATCTAGTGGTACTTGTGATTTGTTTACATTGGTTTACCATGCATATTTAATGGTACTTGTGATTTGTTTACATTGGTTAACCATGCATATTTAATGGTACTTGTGATTTGTTTACATTGGTTTACCATGCATATTTAATGGTACTTGTGATTTGTTTACATTGGTTTACCATGCATATCTAGTGGTACTTGTGATTTGTTTACATTGGTTTACCATGCATATTAAATGGTACTTGTGATTTGTTTACATTGGTTTACCATGCATATTTAATGGTACTTGTGGTTTGTTTACATTGGTTTACCATGCATATTTAATGGTACTTGTGATTTGTTTACATTGGTTTACCATGCATATTAAATGGTACTTGTGATTTGTTTACATTGGTTTACCATGCATATTTAATGGTACTTGTGGTTTGTTTACATTGGTTTACCATGCATATTTAATGGTACTTGTGATTTGTTTACATTGGTTTACCATGCATATTTAGTGGTACTTGTGATTTGTTTACATTGGTTTACCATGCATATCTAGTGGTACTTGTGATTTGTTTACATTGGCTTACCATACATATTGAATAGTACTTGTGATTTGTTTACATTGGTTTACCATGCATATTTAGTGGTATTAGTCTTATCCCAATGCTAAAGGTATTATGTTAACCTGAAGATGTGTCTCCATTTTCATGTCCTAGAGTATAGCAGGGTTTCCGCTGGCAGTTGCCATTTTTCGCATTTTGAGAAAAAATAAATAAACTGCTTCGCTGAGCGCATCTAGATACGCCCGCAGAGGTCAAACCCTGAACAGTTGGGGGCAAAAATGGACACAATATTCAAGCTTGATTCAGGTCTGAATTTGGATTGTAATTAAATATTTGACATATTATAGGTTTCTGAATAAATGTAGTCAAAGATCTTGAAATTGGTTATATGAATTGAATTTATATTCAATTAAAGATTTCTTGCTGTTGTGCAATACACTGTGCTGTTGTGCAATACTTAGTAAATCTGTTGTCAGACTATAAACAAATAAAGTTCAATTAATTCTCAATGTCATATTAGAAATTTATGAAAATAAATAGGGAGCTTACATCAATAGATATAAACAATTCACCAAAGTTTCATGAGAATTGGTAACAGCATTTTTGAGTTATTGTCCGAAAACTGGAAAATCACCCCTTTTTTAATGAATAAAAGCCTGTAACTCAGAAATCTAATTTGTAAAATTTATAAAATTCTAAATGGAGCTTACATCAATAGATACAAACAATTCATCAAAGTTTCATAAGAATTGCTAAAAGCATTTTTGAGTTTTTGTCCGAAAACTGGAAAATCCCCCCTTTTTTTATGAATAAAACCCTGTAACTCAGAAACGTAAAATCTAAAATTTATAAAAATGGAAAGGGAGCTCATGTCAATAGATATAAACAATTCACCACAATTTCTTGCATGTTGGTGAAAGCATTCTTGACTTATTGTCCGAAAACTGGAAAATCCCCCTTTTTTAGTTTATTGTAACTAACTGTGTTTACCCTCTTTAAATAAAGAATTTATTATTATTACTATTATAATTAATTAAGGTGTTGATTGTATTATTTAATGAAATGGTGTGGTTAAATAGCTTCACATGTCACCTAAAGGAATTTTCTTTACAACTTTGATAGAAATGATTGTTTTGAATTGGTTACTCTCCAATCGTTTAAGAGACGCACATGTTTGAAGCTTAGTTCTAATTGTCAACTCTTTCTTTTAACGATGGCCCAGAAAAGAAAACTATTGTTATGAAGAAAAATATTTAAAAGTAAGAAAAATCTCTGACTTTAATTTTTTTCCTTCAACTAGTCGGGAAGTATCCGATAAACTTATAATATTGAAGATAATTAATCCTGTGTTCCCAGAAGTAAATAAATGGGGAATGTGTCCCCATGGACACAGATGATGCCCCCACTTGCATACAACTTTATAAAGGGACATAACTCAAGAACAGTATAATTGATGCTACCTAAATTTGTACTTGATCTGAGTTTTCTAGTAATAAGCATTGTGTATAGGTTTCATAACATTTGGTTGGGGCAAACTTAAGTAACAGAACAAAAAACGATAAATTCAGCAATTTTTCCATTTGTAAAGGGGCATAACTCTAGAACGATTAAAGTGACGCCACCAAAATTCAAACTCAATCTGTGGTATAAGCATTGTGAATAAGTTTCATAACATTTGCTTGAGGCAAACTAAAGTAAGAGAATGGAATCGAAAAATTCAGCAATTTTTCCATCTGTAAAGGGGCATAACTCTTAAATTCAAACTTGATCTGTGTTTTCTGGTAATAAGCATTATGTATAAGTTTCATAACATTTGGTTGAGGCAAACTAAAGTTAGAGAATGGAAACGAAAAATTCAGCAATTTTTCCATTTGTAAGGGGCATAACTTTAGAACGGTTAAAGTGACGCAACCGAAATTCAAACTTGATCTGTGTATTGTGGTAATACGCGTTATGTATAAGTTTCATAACATTTGGTTGAGGCAAACTAAAGTTAGAGAACAGAAATGAAAAATTCAGCAATTTTTCCATTTGTAAAGAGGCATAACTCTAGAACAGTAAAAGTGACGCCACCAAAATTTAAACTTGATCTGTATTTTGTGGTAATAAGCATTGTGTATAAGTTTCATAACATTTGGTTGAGGCAAACTAAAGTTAGAGAACGGTAACCAACTTTGGGACGTATGGACGGACAAGGGTAAAACTTAATGCCCCCTCGGCTACGACGGGGCATAAAAAAATATGATTTCATGATCATTTTGCAATTTTACAATATCTTTTAAAAAAAATGTTTGTTATAAATGAGTGTCTATCTATTTCAATGTAGATTACACAAGAGTGCACACGCTGAAATGGTGGCTTACTATACTGACCATTGATTTTATGTTGATAGTCCTAAATATAAAGTTTTACTACAAGTATAAACATTTGTGATCCAAGAAAATGAGGTCAAAGTCAGATAAACCAAGCCGTAAATACATGTACACCTTTAATACAATCATTCCATACAACGAATATAGATGACCTTTTGCTTATAGTATAAAAGAAACAGACCAAACCATGGAAATTTTATATTGACCAATGAACCATGAAAATGAGGTCAAGGTCAGATGATACCTGCCAGACATATACACCTTACAATCATTCCATACACCAAATATAGTTGACCTATTGCTTAAAGTTTAAGAAAAACAGACCAACAGAGCAATGAACCATGAAAATGAGGTCAAGGTCAAATAAAACCTGCCAGACTGACATGTACATCGTAAAATATTTCCATACACCAAATATAGTTGACTTAGTGCATACAGTATTAGAAAAACAGACCAAAACACAAAAACTTTACTTTTACCACTGAACCATGAAAATGAGGTCAAGGTCAGATGACAACTGCCAGTTGGACATGTACACCTTACAATCATTACATACACCAAATATAGTAGACCTATTGCTTATAGTATCTGAGATATGGACTTGACCACGAAAACTTAACCTTGTTCACTGATCCATGAAATGAGGTCGAGGTCAAGTGATAACTGTCTGACAGGCATGAGGACCTCGTAAGGTAAGCACATACCAAATATATATATCCTATTACTCATAATAAGAGAGAAATTAACATTACAAAAATTTTTTTTTCTTTGCAAGTAGTCACTGAACCATGAAAATGAGGTCAAGGACAATGGATATATGACAGACGGAAACTTTATATCATAAGGCATCTATATACAAAGTATGAAACATCCAAGTCTTCTACCTTCTGGAATATTAAGCTTTTAAGAAGTTAGTTAACGCCGCCACCGCCAGATCACTATCCCTATGTCGAGCTTTCTGCGATAGAAGTCGCAGGCTCAACAAAAGTAGATATGTAGAATTATAGACAACAATACAGCAAACTGAATTAGTTTTTGTTAGAAAGAAGGAAAATTTTAAACGAATGTTTATGTAATAATTGGCGAAATTTTTTTAAAGTGGCGAAAATATATTGTTTTTTGAGAAAGAGGTGGTGAAAAAGAAAATTGACCCAGGGGAAACCCCGAGTATAGTCTGTGGTAGATAGATGTCTCATTATTATAGGACATGTTTGTATGTCTGAGTGATGATATAATACTCACAGATATATTATAGTGCTCTGTAATTCCCCTTCCATTGGCCCCAAGAACACCAAATGAAAAACTTTCTTCTACAAACAGTCTCAATTTGTACTTCCACTTCAGTTCAACCTATTAAAATACCAGCTTCTTTTAAAATTTTATCCTATATTTGACTAACAGAATTACTTATATCTATACTGCATGATGTAAACTATCAAAACTGATCAACAAACTTATATTAGCACTTAATGTTTAAAATTAAATTTATTGCTATACTATCGTGTATAATTGTATCACTGCAATTTCACATTTTGAATTTTAATATAAAAACCTACTAAAGCTCAAAATAAGTTACTATCTGCAGAAATTTCACAATTTATTTATGTAATATGAGACTACAATTCAATAATTCTTCCCAACTCCTGGGTTATAATTGCTTTGAGGTAATGCCTTTTTATAAATGGTAAATAATTCACAATCTTTTTCCAAGAATATCTGTTAGAAATCATTGAGGTGAAGAAATGAAATAATCACTGTACTTACAATTTTAGGCAGTGGACAGATATCACCATGGTTAAAGTATAATCCTTCTACCACCAGAAATCTCCTTGTTACTTTGGCTTTTTTGGGATTCTGTGTAATATAAAGATGTTAATCAGGGATTTTTAAAATTTATTGCTTAAATCTATACAATTGCTGAAACATTTCTTCCCAGAAATTTTTGAAGGTGCAAAAACTTGTAGGGGGTTACCACTTTTTGCGGTAAACTACTATGACGCGAAACAAACACTCAAAATTCACAAATACAATATGAAATTTGAAGCTTTTGACAGGCTAGGTGTTTAGTTATGAACACTATTTATAAATTATCATAAAATGAAATACAATCATTTTGCACACATATAAAACACATTTATAGTCCATTTATAGAGTTAAAATTCAATTTAAGAGTCCAAATTTAGTAATTTCAAGAGAATATTCTCCTGTTCCTTCGAGCCTTTCAGTGCTGAACAGCTTTAGATATGTTCATGTCTGGTGCATCTGCTCCTTTCTAAAGATATTGTATTATTAAGCAGTTTGTAATTTTTGGAATATAATTTATTAAAACAAAAGAATTAAAATGAACAGCTGACCAACATCCGCATTTTGAAATGGCTTCCGTGTGTATTTGTCACAATCTTTTCTTTGTGAGGTAGAAACCTGACAAAGTCTTCAAAGTAAAGTTCAAGGAAATTATTAACTAGTGATATTATACACATGCTGCTGCGTTTCTGTATTGAACTATTGACAATGAATTGTAGTTTTCCGGTGCAAGGACCAATACAGGCATAACTGATTAATTTTTTTAAACATGACAATTAAAGAGAATTTTTTTTGCTAAGAACAAAATTTCACATTCTGACCCAAACTATCAATTCCCATTTTTTTTAATTTGATATTTAATTCATTAATTAATCATGTGTAACGTTTCATAGTTGTATTTCGATCTTTTCCCTAATCCTACCCCTGAAACACTGAAAAAAGTATCCAAGAAAAAATATTTATCTATTCAATGATAATCTATGTAATTAAGCAATCTGATAAGGCAAATACAGGTAATAGATAGATGGAGTCAATCAATAGTTGGGTAATTTGTTGTAATATTGATTTTTCTTCTCAGCAACTTAACAGTTCATAATTAAATATGAAAATTAACATGCTGCAAGATTATCTTTTAAGGCACAGCTTGCAAATGTAAGCAATGCAGGACAACAAAAATATTTAGAAGGCACTGCAGGACCACAGCATCATATCAGCATGGGGAGAACACTGCTGAAATCCCAAAACACCTGATGCAAACATAAGAGAGAGAACCTAAGATGGTTTTGATACCTTTGGCAAATAAACAAAGTACCTTCATATTTTCAGAAACCACATCACTCCTATAAAAAGTGCCCAAAACCAGAAAAGATTTTATATGACCTTCCAACTTCTGTTTAAAGTACTATGATTGTAATAATATTATTCTGTTGTACAAAAATAAAAAAATCTCAAGAAATATGCTTTACTCCAGGGCTTCCAAAACGGTCGTATTTTCCGGACATGACCGATAAATAATAAATATGACTTGTTGTGCCAAACCTGAAACGGACATTTAACGAAGTTTTGCCATTTTAACATAATTCAGAAAAAAATTGAAGTTTTTGCGATCTTTTTGAGCCAACCTTTTACCTTAAACAGCCACATTTCCGGTCATAAAAGTGACATGGTGAATAAGTACTATCAAAACAAATCCTACTTTAATACCCTCTCATTACAATCAAGGTTAATTAGTTGTCAGACAGTTGAAATTTACCTGTTCAGGTAACAGGTAAACTAATATGTACCGGACATTGATAGGTCTATTTGAAGTTATTTTTATAGATTTCAGCGGTTTGCATCTAATTAGTTTAATCAAAAAGATTTAAATTATCAAAAATATGTATATAAATATGATTTGATGAAAATTTTTAAAAGGTAGTTATAAATCTTTTAAGCGTCAGGACCATGTTGTTTGAACAAATTACAAAACGCATGCAAATGTGCGCAGTTGTGAGATTTAATTATGCATCCAAATTCTTCAAAAATACTAAAATTATCATTGATACCTTTATCTAACGTTCATTTCAAGTATTTTCTTGAAGAAATAACGTTGGAAGGAGCTACTTAAACTCCACTGTGCTTTTTAAACGTAAACAGATTTTTCGTATCGGTCTCTGGTCCGTGTTTTACCATTGTAAAGTCAACATCCGGTATGAGAAAATGTACCTTCAAAAACGAAAGTAAAGATTTTGACAGGGATGATTTTGACAACGTAATTTTGCAGAAATAAAGATTCTAAGGCAGATATTAGTACGCTAATGTTGCACACTTCCAATGATGCACTGTCAATTTAACAATTTACGTCAGTACAGCGAATTTGTAACAAAAGTCAAGTTTAATATCGTTTTTATGTCAATCATTCATTGTTTATATGATGCCCAACTGATTAGCATGATTGCCTTTTGTTACGTAGTCTTAAGGGATCAAAATCGGGATAAGACAAAAAATGTCCGGCTGGCACAAATATTTTTTGGAAGCCCTGCTTTACTCCCTTGATTTTTTGCTTTTAAATTACAAAACATTAATTGAGTCTGATGGTTGGACACATGGTAAACTGTTTGCTTTTTAAATAGTTTAAAGAACATCAGTCTACCTTTCTATCTTCATCCTGTTGAACCAGTAATAATCTTTCTAAATCTTCCATGTCATTGTGTTTAAACCATTTAATACTGCTTCTAGAGGCTACCAAACCTTTCTGTATAGAGAAACATACACCCTCATCACTGTAAAAATACAAATGACTAATTATATATAATACTGCTTCTAGAAGTCATAGTACCTCCATGCTTAAATAAACATATAACATCATCTGTGTAAAAACATTACATTCTAACTGTAAAAAAATGATTAAATAAACATATAGCATCACCTGCGTAAAAATATATAGCATAACCTGTGTAAAAATATAATATTCTAACTGTATAAAATGATTAAATAAACATATAGCATCACCTGTGTAAAAATATAACATTCTAACTGTATAAAGTGAATAAATAAACATTTTAAACCCGCTGCATTTTTATGCACCTGTCCTAAGTCAGGAGCCTGTTGTTCAGTGGTTGTTGTTTGTTGGTGTGGTTCTTACAATGTAGGTGTTTCTCATTTCTAGTTTTTTATATAGATTAGACCGTTGTTTTTTTCTGTTTGAATTCTTTTACACTAGTCATTTTGGAGCCCTTTATAGCTTGCTGTTTGGAGTGAGCCAAGGCTCTGTGTTGAAGGCCATACTTTGACCTATAATTGTTAACTTTTTATACATTGTGACTTGGATGGAGAGTTGTCTCATTGGCAGTCATACCACATCTTCTTATTTATATATAGCATCACCTGTGTAAAAATATAACATTATAACAGTATAAAATGATTAAATAAACATAGAGCGTCACCTGTGTAAAAACATATATAGCATCACCTGTGTAAAAATAAAACATTCTAACAGTATCAACTAGAGTACTTAACTCAGTAACTTCATACATGATATTTGAATAATGTCATAAAGGGAATGTTTCAAATGATGATTTAAGGATTTTATAACTGTTGGATATTTAGTACTTATTACATACCTTTTACTCATAATTTTATTTTCATTTATTATATAATTAGTAGTAACTACAAGTAAATTGTATGTGTAATACAATCAATGGCAATTGTGCTGCCAGCTGTGATGATATTGATATCTGTCACGGTTTCAAAGGGTTTATCAAACCCTGAATCATGTCAATACCCACATGAAAAACATCTACTTGAGGCATATATAATATAGTTTATTTAACCATAGATGTATACATCTATGATTTAACACAGCTTGTCAACCCTCAACCAATATAATCATTTTGACATATTTACACTTGTATGCAAATTAGTCTGCCATTACATAAAATCACACAGGTTCTTCACCATTTTAACAAATTGATGACATAATTAAAAAACTGCTTCGCTGAGCGCAGCTGGATACGCCCGCAGAGGTCCAACCCTGAACAGTTGGGGCAAAAATGGACACAATATTCAAGCTTGATACAGGTCTGAATTTGGATTGTAATTAAATATTTGACATATTATAGGTTTCTGAATAAATGTAGTCAAAGAACTTGAAATTGGTTATATGAATTGAATTTATATTCAATTAAAGATTTCTTGCTGTTGTGCAATACACTGTGCTGTTGCGCAATACTTAGTAAATCTGTTGTCTGACTATAAACAAATAAAGTTCAATTAAGTCTCAATGTCATATTAGAAATTTATGAAAATGTAAAAGGAGCTTACATCAATAGATATAAACAATTCACCAAAGTTTCATGAGAATTGCTGACAGCATTTTTGAGTTATTGTCTGAAAACTGGAAAATCTCCACTTTTTTAATGAATAAAACCCCATAACTCAGAAATGATAAATTAAAAATTTATAAAATTCTAAACGGAGCTTACATCAATAGATATAAACAATTCACCAAAGTTTCATAAGAACTGCTGAAGTTATTGTCCGAAAACTGGAAAATCCCCCCTTTTTTAATGAATAAAACCCCATAACTCAGAAATGATAAATTAAAAATTTATAAAATTCTAAACGGAGCTTACATCAAAAGATATAAACAATTCACCAAAGTTTCATAAGAACTGCTGAAGTTATTGTCCGAAAACTGGAAAATCACCCCTTTTTTAATGAATAAAACCCCATAACTCAGAAATGATAAATGAAAAATTTATAAAATTCTAAACAGAGCTAACATCAATAGATATAAACAATTCACCAAAGTTTCATACGAACTGCTGAAAGCATTTTTGATTTTTTGTCCGAAAACTGGAAAATCCCCCTTTTTTCTGAATAAAACCCTGTAACTCGGAAACGTAAAATCTAAAATATATAAAAATCAAAAGGGAGCTCATGTCAATAGATATAAACAATTCACCACAATGTCTTGCAAGTTGGTGAAAGCTTTCTTGAGTTATTGTTGGAAAACTGGAAAATCCCCCTTTTTTTAATGAATAAAAACCCATAACTCGGAAACGTAGAATCTAAAATTTATAAAAAACAAAAGGGAGCTCACGTCAATAGATATAAACAATTCACCAAAGTTTTATGTAAATTGGTTAAAGCGTTTTTGAGTTAATTTCCGACATGTTGACGACGGATGGACAGAGGTATACCATAATACGTCCCGTAAACGGGCGTATGAAAAACGATTGTTGCTTGCTGTCAGAATTTAATTTAGAGATAAAGTTCAGCTAAATACCAAAAGTGTAAATACATCTATTGGTGTCTCAGGTTGATACAGATATTATTTTTTTAAAAGACATATTATACTCTTTATATATTTCCTTAAAATATAAAATTGCTATTTTTTAACAAAGATATTAAATTACCTCTCTTAAGGTAGACATTAATGGTGATTAAAATACATGCATAATTTTTTTATAAATTGCACAAATGTAACAACTTCTTATGACACTGGTTATTTATGCAGCATATGTAGTGCATTACACAAATACAATATCAACTTCTGAGCAAAAACAGGGATGGCACTGTCTATATATGTAACATATTTGATACACTACATGTAAATTACATCTCCTTAGAGAAGTCAAGGATAATGGCAGATAATAAAACTGAAATTTAGGGAGAATCCTGCAATTCAAGCATCCCTCCTTTTATAGCATGTAAGCCTGAGGGTCACCTATTCAAGACTGTTTACATGATGAAGGTTTGTGCCTTATATCAAGATGCTATGAATTGCAGTAGCTCTGCAAAATATGATTAAAATTTCATATATGTGCACAAGATTTTCTAGTTTCAACAAACAGTAAGAAATGGCATAATGTGTGAATTTTTTTTCAAACCCTTGCCTATACACATATAAATTTAATACATTACACAAATATAACATCTCCTCTCTTGGAATAGGCAGGGATGGCACTGGCAATGGTTGCAAAACCATAGGAATATAAAGCTGCTTCTTCACAATACATAAACTTGGCAAATTTCTCTTCTAATTCTAAATGGACATCTGGAAAATATATCAAACATTTATAACACAACCATAGAGAATTAAATCAAAATCATCTAAAAATAGTCCTACATAAATAAGATAAACCTATGTCTTTTTACTCCTTATTTTAGAATCAAATTGGTGCCACTAAATCTGTGCATTATGAAATACTTATCTCAAAGCTCAGTTAAGATTCAAATTTAATACAAGACATAATATAAATAAAGCAGCATATATAAAATTGAATTACTGATAACTTTTTGTAAACTTTGGTACCTTGATGTTTTGATATTTTGATATTTCAAAATTTGTTAAATTCTAAGTACATGTAATGCATTTTTTTTTTTTGCTTTTAGAAGAACCTGTATCTATATGCTATTTAAGTTGAAAATTGTGTAACAGCTTCATTTAAATTCTTGATTAATCAGAAATAATTACCCATAGTTCCATAGAAACCTCTAGGGCCACACGATCCTACTCCATATTGTTTCAGTGTCTTAATGGCTGCAGACTGAAGAATAAACATAGAAAACTTTGAAACTACAAATGTAATATTATTGAGTATTTTATTTTATTCCTTCTGATCCAAACCAGAAACACTGAGTTGGTGAATTCACATATTTTCAACAATATTAAATTTCCATATGAGAGTCTATAAATAAATATTTTCACATTATCAGCTATTGTCATACAATCTTTTTCTTTCGTTTTTTTTTTATTTGAGAATTTTTGTTTGTTGGCTCATTGAAACTTGCCCATATTTATGTGATAAGTACAGTATTGTAAGTCTGTCTATGTTACCTTTACTATATTGAAACATACCTCAACTTCTGCATTTCCAGCCATTCCTAAAAAGTTCAGTGTTGCCATATTTAAGGAGGATTTGTCATTTATCATCACATATTTGTCTGGTTTGCTATGAATAAAACAGAAAATAAAAAAATAATTATAATGACTGACAAGCATGAAAATCTTAAGTGTTATACTCCAGTAAAACTTATTTAATTTAAAATTTATCCCCCCCTTAATATTGATTATGTTTGAGTTTTGGAGTGAGATCCTTTACATACATTACTGTTAAACTGTTGACACAGAGATGTGTATTGCTTTTCGTAATTTTGATAGTAAAATGGCAATATTTAAACATGTAAACTATACAAAACATTTAAAATCAATGAACCATGACTGAAGGTGCAGGGCCAAATGATCTTCATGGAAATGAGAAATATCAATGCTTATAAAACAGAATAGCAAATACCATTGACTTACATTGAATAATCTTTATATTACATAAGTGGTTCCCTTTAAATTAACCTAAACAATAGGTAAAAGTTTTAAAGTCGATGAACTATGATGAAACGGCAGGCCATGTAATCTCCATGGAAAAGAGACTTGCAAATGCTTATACAACTATCACTGACATAATATTAGTGGTTTATCTTAAACTGATCTTATCACAAACTTTAAAATGTAATCTAAGAAAAATATTCAAATTCAATAGACCATGACCTAGTGGGCAGGACCAAATAATCTCTATGGAAATAAGATGTGCCAATGCTACTAAAACTGCATACCAAATACCACTGACCTACCACTAATGGTTCCCTTAAACTGACCTTATCACAAACTTATAAATGTAAACTAAACAGAATTGACTCAGGTGATGGGGCCAAATAATCTCCATGGAAGTGAGATGTGCCAGTGCTAATACAACTGCATACCAAATATCATGTATTGGTTCCCAAAAAAATGACCTTATCACAAACTAATACATTGTTGACGCTTCCCCTGCTGGAAACAGCATGCCTAAGTCTGGCTTTTTCAACTCTGTAGAAGGGAGACAAAAATTATAACAACCAAAATTACCAATCTTTATAGGAAAGGGAATTTATTATGCCGTACAATTTGTATATGCGACAAATTATAACCACTAGAGCTAATGATCTTTTGCTATTAATACAGACTGATCTCCACTTCAGCAAAGGTCAATTGTTTAACAATTGAGTATCACTAAATAACTAAAAAGAAAAAAAAAGTTTTGTTTTCTAAAACTATTGTTCATGTCAAATGTACATATTTTCTAAAGAATAAATTAACACTCAATAACTAATAAGCAAAAAATGTATGTTTTCTTTCTTGTCAAATGGTTGTATAAAAATGCCTTTTAAGGATGTACAAGTGTTCTTTTAATTATTCATATAAATGCATTTTTAAGAATATGAATAAGTATATCCAATATATGTTTTGTGATTTCTGGACTTTAAATTTCCATGGAAAGTTTTGGAAACTGATTACCAAGGAACAGTAATACTTCCATCAAAATAAATTACTTATCTATCCTTGCTATTCCAACAAATCATCTGTCAGCAGATCATAGAAATTACAGGAGTGAAAACTAAAATAGCCGATAAATATTCTAAAAAGAAACAAACCCAGATATAATATTCTTCTCCATTGCTTGTAGTAATGGATGATTTTCATCAACATCAGGAACCAATGGATCTGGCTGCCATTCTTCAATTAATTCAGCTTTCTCCTACAACAAAGTAGCTTTCTTTTTCAAAAAGCTTGTCAAATAACTTCAAGATAAAATTCTTTACATTCTAAAATTTTCCAAGATGTCTCTGCACATAAAATTGTTAAATTCTAATTTAGTTTATTAGTTTCTAAGAAATGGCTAGGAACGCCCAAGTGTACTCCAATAGTCCCTCTTCAACATACTGAGACAAACTAAAAACAAACTATGACTGCTATGTAACATGTTAAATCACCACTTTTTAAGCTTATGTAAAATAGAGTTTAAATTCAAAAGCACAAAGTATGTTCATATCTTTTAACATCATTTTGGCCAAATTTACTCTCCTGCAATACCATGTTCTCTGGTTTACACATGTAAAACATTAAACAACATTTGTAACTATATGTATATCGATTCATTCTTACCTTTTCAGTCAGAACAGATTCTGGACGATATTCTGTGGAAAAGAATATCAGCTTGAAAATCCATATTATTAACAAAGCTTCAAATATCAGGTGGTATGTGGGAGCCTGAAAACAGAAAATAAGTGATGGCAGATGAAATATTTTATTTTTTGAGGAATCGCCAGTTTCACATACATGTACCGGTAGTACCAGTACATAAAGTGCAGTCATTTTTGTAATATTAAGAAATATCATGGGGCAAGAAGAGATCTGTGATAAAAAAAAAATAAACATGTATACATGGATATAAGTTGAACTGTGCTTACTTCCAAAATAATAAGACTAAAAGCTGTCAATTTTTACTATTCAAGTTGAGAATTTTTCTGTGTACTTGTAAAATTTTCTTAAACGGATATTTTGGCTAAACATTAGCTTTAAATACAATGAAATGTTAACATTATTGTTCTAATTCAAAACTTGATTAAATTTTCGCATGAAAAGCCAAATCTAATAAGTTTCTGGTATTTTCATTGATCACAATGAAATAAATACATAAAACATATACAATATGTGATACACATTATTTTATTTATTTTAAAGAAAACTCTAAATAAGTTCCTGAAAATAAGTTTATCCAATAGTCAATTTGCTAATACCGTTATTGATCCTTTAATTAGAGAATATTTTTTTAGTTGCATGCACAATTTTCATTAACATAAAGACCAAATTTATCTGTCCATATTGTGTGTGTAATCTTTGTAATTAAGTTTTTCACATCTTTTCATTCTATTTAATCTTTTGTTATACTAAAAACTTTTGACATCAATATTCATTATTTTTATCAAAAATTGGTTAAAACGCCTTTTCATCACTTTCAACTCATCATGCTTAGCATGGAAAGCAGCCAATTTTGTCTGGTATAAAACCAGTCTAGAATACATGATCTGCCAATTGATGCTTTTTCCAGGAAAAATTGATGTCACAAATCAAATAGCTTTATATCAAAATGTCCTACAACACTTTTTCTACAAATAAGCCAAGGTCATCAGGGGCATTTCATTCATAAAATTGTAATCAGAATCTTGTGTATTGGCAATTGCAAAGGGAAAAAAACTGTGATAAAAGTGTGTAAATTATAACAGAATCAAATCTGTAATCATGGTAATTGGAAAACAAACTATAGTCACACATATTTTGAGACAAGAAGAAGTTAATGTTATGGGTCTATAATTTTTAGATTCCTCTTGTCTATTTTGTTTTTTACTTTATTTGAAGAGGGTGGCTCAATTAGCAAACAAAACAAGTAAATGATACATAGTTACAATTTTTGAACGCACAATACAACATTCACGCCCAGATCAGTCAATCAAGAATAAATCTTTTACTTTTCATTTGCATTACATACTGGTCAAAGTAAACATGATTTATGTGACAAAATTACATAACCGTTTTGTCATAACATCTGAAAAAAATATGATATTAGAAAATAAAGGTTAAACCTGGGAACAGTATATATATGTTCCTGGTTAAACAGGTGGTTGACATATAAGTATCAAATCATTTGTACTGGCTTTAAAACAACTTCCTCAGTGTATTACCTGTAAAAAAGACTCTATCAGTTCGTACATATCACTAGATTTCGGTAAAAAGGAGTTGTTCGTGGCCATGATAATGTTCATCATGTTGTCATGTACGGTATGCCAATTATGCTGTAAACTATGGAAAGTCTCGAGGTCTTACGAATCTTAGAATCCCGATAATACCCGAATAAAACTAAGAAGTTTATCTGATAACCAAAACAGGATTGTTATATAAATAGCACAATTACGAACAATATTAGAAAGTAGTAAATCGATTTAGGCATAAATTATACACAGATTTATTCTATACCATCCAACTTAAGACACAAGGGTTTACATGGTGCTGCTTTTATAACTATTTATTTGCATGCTGCTTTTATAACTATTTATTTGCATGCTGCTTTTATAACCTATTTATTTGCATGCTGCTTTTATAACTTTTTCAGTATTTGCATGCTGCTTTTATAACTATTTATTTGCATGCTGCTTTTATAACTATTTATTTGCATGCTGCTTTTATAACTATTTATTTGCATGCTGCATGTTTTATTTCTTTGTTTTATTTGTTAGGCAATTGTAGGATATATATTTTTTTATATTCGGTGAAAAGCGTTTAAATTGTTTGTCAATATGCCGAATCAAAATACTTACTTACTTAGACAGATGTCTTGCTGGTATTTTATTCAACATTTGTTTCTACACAATAAAATTGCTAAAAATTCATACAAATAAAAAGATGGCCCCAGAAAGACTATTCATTGGTAGATGGTAAGAACTTGACAATAAGAGATACGACACTATTTCGAATGAAAAAAAACCATGCACACAAAAAAGCTGCTAAAATGATAATTCATGAAATTTTGTCATGCATTAAAACCTGAAAAACACTGGGACATAATATATTACTATAATAGTCCCAGCAAACCCGACTGAACTTGACCATGAAAATGAGATTAAGGTCAGATTTACTCTGTCAAATGAACACGTACACTATACACTCATTCCATGCACCAAATGCATGACCTATTGCCTAAATGTCGAAAAAATAGACTTAACCATTGTTACTTAACTTTGACCAATGAATCATGTAAATGGTCAAGTTCAGAAAGTTGACTTATTGATTTAAGTGCACGAAAACAGACCTAATCACAAAAAACTTAACCAATGAAGCATGATATCGATGTCAGGTGAAACCGGCATGCCGGACAAGTACACATTACAATTATTTCAAACACAGCTAACCTACTGCTTATAGTTTCAGAGAAACAGGTGTAATCACGAAACTTTTAACCTTCATCACTGATTCATGAAATGAGGTCGAGGTCGGGTGAACCATGTCTGATGAACATTGGTCACTGGTCGATATTTTTTCATTGGCAATCATAACACATCTCCTTATTTTATATTGTTGGCCTATCAAGGATCTCACATACATGCCGAGTAATTTAAATTATAAATTCAAAAATTTTCAAAGTTATTTGAGGAGATGAAATTTGTTTGGATTCTTTTCATCTGAAGATTTGTTTACTTCAAACTAATCTAAATTATTGCACTCGCTTTTTGAAGAATGTAGTTTGAAAAATATAAAAATTAAAAATCGATCAGTTGTTGTCTCCCATAGGCCTGGTCTATAAATTGATTACGAAAACGTATTTTCTCCAGGTCACAGTGGTTTCCAAAAAACTTTATGTTTTGTCAAAAGATATTGTTTATATGTTACTTTGTTTAAATGTGTATACATGTGTTTGTTTAAATGTTCTTTAATCACTCTAATCATTCTAATCATTTACTGTGCTTTATTTTGTAATAATTCATTTGATTGTATTTTGGCACCATGATTGGTTAATAAAAATACCTTATCTTATCTTAACACATCTTAACCTATTACTCAAAATGAGTGAGAAATGCACATGATACCAATAGCACGCCTGGATCTATGAGGATCTTCAACAGTGGCCACACTCCAAAATATGATTCATGACTAATATCTATTTTTTATTGATCTTGTGGTGTCAACGTATATTTGTTCCGCCTAACAGAAGTTCCACTGGAAACTTTGTTATAAACAATGTCATAATATCTGTTCCTGTTGGAACAAATATTCTATACCATTTATTCCGTTAGGAACATATACTGTAATATTTATTCCAGTGGAAATAATATTCCAGAATATTTTTTCCATTTGGAACTAATATTATGGAGGAACTTCTATTTCGTGACAGTGGATAGTTCTCAACATTTTGAACATTTTTGACAGGTCAAGTTTTCTCTATCTATTTAGCGGTTTTCAAAATAGTTGACAAAAATTGCATTTTACCCCGACGTTCTATTTTCAGCCATGTCGTTCGGTTCCTGTTTGTTGGCAGGCAGGATCATCGGACACATATTTTAAACAAGATACGTCAATGCTTTTTGCGACAAAGTTTGGTTCAAATTGGTCCAGTAGTTTCAAAGATTTTTGTAAAAGTAACAAACGTCGGACGACGGAAACCAAGTAATAAGAATAGCTAGCTCACTTAACCCAAAAGAGTAAAACTAATAAAGAAATCATGTTCTCTCAGACTAAAGTATCAATCAGTACACATCAAACGGGTTTAGTATTAAAATGTCATATACAGTATGAGAAAAGCATGATCTGGTGCAATGCAAAAATATAGGTAAACAGTGTCTAGCATATAATTGAGAATAGAAGCGGATAGCATATTTTCTTTTTTCATTACAGAAGGCTCTACATGATTTGCAGCAAATAAATCTGGCTTCAGATTTGTCAAAGTACAATTTAATTAGATAAAGAGGCACTTCTGTTTGATAAGATTGGTAGGAAGGGTAGTGTAGAGTGTCGAGAAATCATAATAGTCAACGAATTGAAAGAACCACAAAAAGCACGTAGTTTATCTTAAAAACCCAAAGATATTTTTACACTAAAAAATAATGAATTTAATTATTGTCATTCATTTTATAACAAAAGTTCGTATTTAGTTCATAATTTTAGTATTTTAGTAAGGGAACTGATTAACAGCAGAGAAAGATAAGTAGTAGAACACTTAATGAAGGGGAGATGAAACGATATTTGACAGGTTTATGTGTAGTTGGGGGTAGGCAGTACATAATAGAGACCTTAATATGTTCAGGTGATCTTGAATTGATATGTTTGACCGAGTTTTTTCAAATCTTTTCCCATCTTTACATAGACATTAAAATTTCTATATCAGGTTACTGGTATACATTAAAGTGTAGGATAATATGAATTTGCATAATCAGTCCGACTTCCACAATAAGAGTTACCCAAATACATTATGCATCAATATGCTTTCAATCTGTGTGCAACTCCTGCTTTCGGTCTGTGTGCAACCCCCGCTTTCAATTTATGCGCATCCCCTGCTTTTACTCTGTGTGCAACTCCTGCTTTCGGTCTGTGTACAACCCCTGCTTTCAATTTATGTGCAACCCCTGCTTTTACTCTGTGTGCAACTCTTGCTTTCGGTCTGTGTGCAACTCCTGCTTTCAATCTATGTGCAACTCCTGCTTTCAATCTGTGTGCAACCCCTGCTTTCGATCTGGGTGCAACCCCTTCTTTCACTCTGTGTGCAATCCCTGCTTATAATCTGTGTGCAATTCCACCTTTAGGTCTGTGTGCAACTCTGCTTCAATCTGTGTGCAACTCCAGCTTTCAATCTGTGTGCAACCCCTGCTTTCAATCTGTGTACAATCCGTTTTCACTCTGTGTGCAACTCCTGTTTTCGATCTGTGTGCAACTCCTGTTTTCGGTCTGTGTGCAACTCCTGCTTTCAATATGTGTGCAACTTCTGCTTTCAATATGTGTGCAACTTCTGCTTTCAATATGTGTGTAACCCCTGCTTTTGTTATGTGTGCAACTGCTGCTTTCAATCTGTGCAATCTCCTGCTTTCGTTCCGTGTGCAACCCCTGCTTCCAATCTGTGCAACTCCTGCTTTCGGTCTTTGTGCAACCCCTGCTTTCAATTTGTGTGCAACCCCTGCTTTCAATATATGTCCAACTCTTGCTTTCGGTCTGTGTGCAACTCCTGCTTTCAATCTGTGTGCAACTCCTGCTTTCAATCTGTGTGCAACTTCTGCTTCCAATCTGTGTTCAACCCAAGCTTTCAATCTGTGTGTAACCCCTGCTTTTACTCTGTGTGCAACTCCGGCTTTCACACTGAGTGCAATTCCTGCTTTCCATCTGTGTGCAACTCCTGCTTTCAATCTGTGTGCATCCCCTGCTTTCAATCTGTGAACAACCCTTGCTTTAAATATGTGTGCAACCCCTGCCTTCAATCTGCGTGCAACCCCTGCTTTCACTGTGTGCAACCCCTGCTTTAACTCTGTGTGCAACTCCTGCTTCACACTGAGTGCAACTCCTGCTTTCGTTCTGTGTGCAACCCGTGCTTTTATTCTGTGTGCAACCCCTGTTTTAACTATGTGTGCAACTGCTGCTTTCAATCTGTGTGCAGCTGCTGTGTTCAATTTGTGTGCAATCTCCTGCTTTCGTTCCGTGTGCAATCCCGCCTTTTACTGTGTGCAACTCCTGCTTTTACTCTGTGTGCAACCCCTGCTTTCACACTGTGTGCAACTCCTGCCTTCGTTCTGTGTGCAACCCCTGATTTTACTCTATGTGCAACTCCTGTTTCGTTGTGTGCAACCCCTGCTTTTGCTCTGTGTGCAACTGCTGCTTTCAATCTGTGCAATCCCTGCTTTTACTATTTGAGCAACCCTTGCTCTTTTTTTGTGTGCAACCCGGCTTTCAGACTACTAGTATGTTAAAAGTTGCTTTCGCTCGGTGTACATGTGCAACCCCTGCTTTCACTGTGTGCAACTCCTGCTTTCAATCTGTGTGCAACCCCACTGCTTTCACACTGTGTTCAATCCTGCTTTCATTTTGTGTGCAACCCTGCTTTCACTGTCAGGACATTAAAATTAGAGCAGAAGTACCAATAACAAAGACATGTGGCTAATCAAACAAACTAAAGACTGAAAATCTTACTCGTACAGGACTGAAAATAAAGTGTAAGAAGGCATAACTTTTTGACCAGCAGATTAAGTTTTTCACACTTGCATTGGTAACTGTAAGCATTATTTAATACATGTTCTCAACTTGAATATTCATTTATTTGCCACTGAAAACTAA